CGCGCCTTAAAGACCTTACTATTTCACCAGGCCGGCCTGGCCTAATTTTCCCCCTCTTTTATAAAAGATTTTAAAAATTTTAAATATCTTTTAGTATTTTATATATTCAATTTTAAATTGGTTTTAAAAGTTTGGGGTTTTAAATTTGTCGGGGCCAAAATTATTTAATTTGATTTTATTCTATTTTTTAAATTTTGTATTGTATGTGTTTTTATTGTTTGGCTGTGCACCGCCCTGAGTCCTTCGGGAGTAGGGTGGTATAGAAATCTAATAAAATGAAAATGAAAATGAAAATTCCCTTGACCCTGACTACTAAACAACTCAGAGGCCAATTCACATTCTGCGGTTGAGACTATCTTTGCAGGGAAATGGCTGCCTGTCAAATCTATTTAACAATTCTTCTTATTGGCTAGTTTTTTCCCCCAAACAACCACTCGAAGTTTCTTAAATTAATACTGATAGTAAACTCTAGCCTAATAGCTTGCTGGTGATGACTGATTTTAGGTTCACAAATACTATATTCAGACTAATGGAAGAAGGAACATTTTTTTCTTGCCTCTAAGCCCAGCATGAAACAAATTGGGCTGCTAAAGAAGCCAAACATCATTGGTTTGCAACATGGAAATGCTATCTTCTATCAATTCTTAACTGTAATGTACTTTGCTGAGTAGTGACTTTTTTGGAGTTATTTACAAGTTAATCTAAGCTGCTGTGAAGAAAAATAAGTCTCTGGGGAAAGGATCGATTCGGATTTTATGTCCCATTAATTAAGGAACTGTAGTGCTCATATTGTATATTATGACTCCTGGTTTTTCATGTCAGGTAGTCCTTGACTTATGACCACAGTTGAGCCCAAAATTTCTATTGCTAAGCGAGGCAGTTGTTAAGTAAACTTTGCTTAACAACTTTGTTAAGTAAATTTTACGACCTACCGTTGTTTGTAAGGTGAATCTGGCTTCCCCATTGACTTTCTCAGAAGGTCGCAAAAGGTGATCATATGACCCCGGGATACAGCAATTGTTATAAATATAAGCCAAGTGTCCAAATTTTGATCACGTGAAAATGGGGATCCGCAACAGTTGTATATGTGAAAAATGGCCATAAGTCAGTTTTTTTCCAGTACCATTTAACTTTGAATGGTCACTAAATGAAAGGTTATAAGTGGACTACCTAGATTATCTACTGTCCCATAACTGTAAACCTTCCCAGAGAGATGAGTTAATTCTACTTTATTGTAAGGCTACATTAATAGACACTTGCAAGTCTGAAAATACTTCTTTCTTTCTTTCTTTCTTTTTTTTTTTTTTACAGCCTGAGAAGTTAGGGAGGGTTCCTTTCTGATTCTCTTTCCTCCACCCATTATGCAGCTGAGGGCTATGCCCTCCCTTATCTGATAGTTACCTAGGCAGCGTCTCTGCCCCATCTGTCAAAGTGTTTCCAACATACCATTATGCATACTCAAGCTTTTCTTGTTGACAGTGCTTAAAGGAAATGCTACTAAAACTGAAGATTGAACCGTATCCCAGTTATCTCATGAGAACATGGAGTAATGCTTTTGAGACTCTCTGCTTTCTGAGTTTTTTCAGGGATTTTGAGCTAGTCCATAGTATTGTAGCTACCCTGCATGAGTGAGCGGTCCACACTCTGAACAATTCTTTACATTGCAGAGGTAGTTCATAGGCAAGCCGTCTTTCAGGAAAGCTTGTGCCAAGTAACTTAGGTTTGAAGAGTGGTGATATAGAATACACCTGGCCCTCAGCTTAGAACACAATTGAGCCCAACATTTCTGTTGTGAAGTGAGATAGTTGTCGAGTGAGTTTTGCCCTGTTTTATGACCTTTCTTGCTACAGTTGTTAAGTGAATCACTGCAGTTGTTAAGTTAGTTTAGTTTAGTTTAGTTTAGTTTAGTTTAGTTTAGTTTAGTTTATTTGATTTGTATACTGCCCTACTCCCGAAGGACTCAGGGCGGTGAACAGCCAACAATAAAATACATAAATACACAAAATTTAAAAACCCGATAAAATCAAATTAAATTATTTGGCCCAGACAAATTAAAATACCCCAATAATTTAAAAACAGATTAAAATTTACATATTTAAAAAGGGAAGAGATTAGGCCAAGCCCGCTTGATGGAATAAAAAGGTCTTCACAGTTAGTAATATGGTTGTTAGCTGAATCTGGCTCCGTCATTGACTTTGCTTGTTAGAAGGTCACAAAAGGGGATCACATGACCCTGGGACACTGCAACCATCATAAACATGAGCCAGTGGCCAAATGTCTGAATTTTGATCACGTGATGCTGCAACAGTTGTAAGCGTAAAAAAACAGCCATAAATCAAAGTTTAAAATGCTGATATAACTTTGAACAGTCACTAAATGAACTGTTGTAAGTTGAGGGCTACCTGTAGCGGTTAGTTTCAATCATTTGTAATGATGCATATTTATTGCGTTTTTTAAGACTCTGGTGAGTTACTATTTCTCTGTGGCAGATAGACAATCTGGCAGTGCCTATGTCATCTATTTTGATTAGGGATTTGAAACTGCTAATTTATAGCAAAATTAAATGACTTTAATGCTGTTATACCCAGCTCAGCTTCAATTTATGAAAGGCTTCTTCCTTTCTGGCTCAGTGTACTTTTTCCACAGGGAAATCTTCACTGATCCTTGACTTTCGACAGATTTAATTATTGACCTAGGCTTCTGCCTTGTTAACTTTATGGAATGTTTTAAGCTACTTTTACTGTTATGTTTATAACTTGTGTTTTAAAAAAAAAATATGGTAAGGGCCATGAAATAACTAAGAGGATGTTTACAAAAAGAGTGTAACTTGTGCCTGTTTTTACAAAAACATTTACAATAATTACTAGTTTGCAGAATCTGGTACTAGCCTGCTGGAGGCTGGTAGTATTCTAGGTTGCTGGGCACAGAAAGGAGTGCAGTAGAGGTAGACCCTCACTTACAGCCATTCGTTTAGTAACCGCTCAAAGTGACAACATCACTGGAAAAAAAAAAAGACTTGTCACTGTTTTTCACACTTATGACCGTTGATTCCTTGGTCACATGCTCAAAATTCAATTGCTTGGAAACCTGGCATGTGTTTATGACAGTTGTAGTGTCTCAGAGTCCCATGATCAATTTTTACGACCTTCTGAGAACCAAAGTCAATGGGGAAGCCAGATTCACTTAACAACTGTGTTACCAACTTAACTACTGCAGTGACACACTTAAACAATTGTGGCAAGAAAAGTAATAAAATAGGGCAAAACTCACTTAACAACTGTCTTGCTTTGCAATGGAAATGTTGGGCTCAATAGTTGTAAGTCAAGGACTACCTGTAACCAAAAATTCAATACTTGGTACTAGTTGAGTGTGTATGTATAGTAATGGGATACTACTATTGTTCTGCTATTTAAACATTTTTATGAGCATTGATGAGGCTGCATAGACACTTCTTTAATTACTTATGATTGCCTTGTTGAATGTGCTTGTTATTTTCAACCTATGAATTCATAAATAGTAATGTGTCAAGAGAGCCTCTATATTAAAAGTACAGAATATAGAATAACAGAGTTGGAAGGGACCTTGGAGATCTTCTAGTCCAACCCCCTGCTCAGGCAGGAAACCCTATACCATTTCAGACAAATGGTTGTCCAATCCAATCTTCTTAAAAACTTCCAGTGTTGGAGAATTCACAACTTCTGGAGGCAAGTAGTTCCACTGGTTAATTGTTCTAACTGTCAGGAAATTTCTTCTCAGTTCTAGGTTGCTTCCCTCCTTGATTAGTTTCCATCCATTGCTTCTTGTCTCTCTGGTGCTTTGGAGAATAGCTTGACCCCCTCTTCTTTGGGGCAGCCCCTGAGATATTGGAACACTGCTATCATGTCACCCCTACTCCTTCTTTTCATTAGACTAGACATACTCAATTCCAGCAACCCTTCTTCATATGTTTTAGCCTCCAGTCCCCTAATCATCTTTGTTGCTCTTCTCTGTACTCTTTCTAGGGTCTCAACATCTTTTTTTTATCTTGTGGCAACCAAAACTGGATGCAGTATTCCAAGGGTGGCCTTACCAAGGCATTATAAAGTGATATTAACACTTCACGTGATCTTGATTCTATTCCCTCTGTAACTGCAGCCTAGAACTGTGTTGGCTTTTTTGGCAGCTGGCTCTGCTGGCTCCTATTGAAGTGATTGTCCACTAGGACTCCAAGATCCCCTCCAAGTAACTTAATAATACAGGTAGTCCTTGACTTATGACCATAACTGAGCATGGAATTTCTATTGTAAGTCATTACGGTCACAGTTTTGAGGCACCAACATGACTGGATCTGATTCTGTGGCTTTTTTTTTTTGTGGCAGTCATTCAGCGAATTTGATGGCCATTAAGCAAACAGTATCAGTATCACACTTCATTGACCAAGTGGTTAAACATACAAGGTATTTCTCTCCAGTACAGAGGGTGGTCATTAAGCAAATGAGCCAGTCGTTAAGCAGATTAATACATTCCTGTGTATTGAACCTTGGCAAAACAGGTCATAAAATGGGGCGTGTCTTATTTAACAACCACCTTGCTTAGCAATGGGAATTGTGGTCATAAATCGAGGACTAGTTATGGTAACAATGAAGGAAAGCTTGAGTCTTTGTCTCAAAAGGCCTTGTAGTTTAAAATTTAGAAGTAGAAGAGTAGAAGAGATGTGTTCATACTTCACTGGCATAGCAAATCCCTGACACCTCTGCTTAAACAAAAAGATGATTTTTGTTCAAGAGCTGGAAAAAATGTCTTGTTCTGAGACCATGGAGATTTTGCTGCCTATCAGAAAGCCACAAAAGACTCCTTCCTGTATTTATATTTCAGGTGGCCTCTGTATACACTTCAACATAAGCTATTAGGACGGCTCTTACACAAGTAATAATATTTATTGCCCTTAGTCGTGGTGGCGGCTCCACTCTTAGCTTCTGTTGAAAGCTTGATATTAATTTAGGTTTGTTTAATCCCTGCAGATGAGGAAGACGGTGTATGGGAAAACGGGCTCTCCTATGAATGCCGAACTCTGCTCTTCAAAGCAATTCACAACCTGGTGGAAAGATGCTTGATGAACCGGAACTTTGTCCGTATTGGGAAGTGGTTTGTGAAGCCTTATGAGAAAGATGAAAAACCTATCAATAAAAGGTAAAGTATCTTATATGATTCTTTTTCTCTGTAGCCTTTACTGTATGTATGTGTGTGTGTGTACATGCATGTATATTAAGCGTATGTATTTATTTTATTTTATTTTATTTTATTTTATTTTATTTTATTTTATTTTATTTTATTTTATTATTTTATTATTTTATTTTATTTCATTATTTTATTTTATTTTATTTTATTTTATTATTTTATTATTTTATTATTTTATTTTATTTTATTTTATTTATTTTATTTATTTTATTTATTTTATTTATTTTATTTATTTTATTTATTTTATTTATTTTATTTATTTTATTTATTATTTTATTTTATTTTTTATTTTATTTTATTTTATTTTTTTATTTTATTTTTTTTATTATATTATTATTTTATTTTATTTTATTTTATTTTATTTTATTTTATTTTATTATTTTATTTTATTATTTTATTTTATTTTATTTTATTTTATTTTATTTTATTTTTATACCGCCCTTTTCCAGCAGGACTCAGGGCAGTGAACAGCCAAGGTAAAACATAGCATACAAAATTTAAAACAATTTAAAAAGATATTAGATAATTTCGGCCCACAATTTAAAAACACCCCAATAAAAATCAATTACAAATTAAAACCGAAAGATGGGATCAAGCCAGCCCGGCTAGATGAAATAAGTGAGTTTTAAGGGCCCGATGAAAAGTCCGGAGGTCCGGGATCATACGTATCTCTGGGGGTAGGTCGTTCCAGAAGGCGGGTGCCACCACAGAGAAAGCTCTCCCCCTGGGGGTCGTCAGCCAACATTGTCTGGCTGACGGCACCGTGAGGAGCCCCTCTCTGTGCGAGCGTACTGGCCGGTGGGAGGCTATTGGCGGCAGAATGTATGAGGTATAGGTCTCAGCTTACAACAGTTCATTTAGTGACTGTTCAAAGTTACAACAGCACTGAAAAAAATAACTTATGACTTGTTTTAACACGACCGTTGCAATATCCCCATGGTCACATGATCAGAATTCAAATGCTTGACAACCGTTTTATATTCATGATGGTTGCATTGTCCCAGGATCATGTGGGATCACCTTTTGTGACCTTTTGACGAGCAAAGTCCATGGGGAAGTCAGATTCACTGAACAACCATGTTACTAATTTAATGACTACAGTGATTCACTTAACAACAGTGGCAATAAAAATTGTAAAATGGGGCAAAATTGACTTAAAAGCTGTTTCCCTTACCAACAGAAATTTTGGGCTCAATTGTCAAAAGCTGAGGACAATCTGCAAATAGAAAATTAGGAAGAGGTGAACTGATTTTTCACTTCAGTGCAAATATTACTTGATGATAGAACTGATTTTCATGCGTTTGCAACTTCCTGGAATAAACTCTGCTTCTACAACCATTCCTATTTAAAATCTTCCTTTCATTTTTGCGTGTGCTGGTATCAATGAAGGCAGAGTTGCTTTTGTATCCTTCCCTTGGCTACTGTCAACTCAGAGTTATAGGTTTCCCAGAGAAGAGATGCAAATAAATGCCATGCAAATGTCTTTTATTAAAATACTTTCTGGAATCATGACAGTAATGCCATGTAGCTATATTGGTCCATTAAAAAATAAATGGAATTTATTAAATTGGAATAATGCGATTGAACTTTTCATTAGGATTGACTGCAAGACCAAAGGAATTTGAGAGATTATTCACTGTTTTATGATTTAACTAGGAAAATATAAATATATCAGTGTTACTTTTAAATTTAGGGACATAGGCGCTTGTCTTCCATTGTGGACCACATGTGACCTTCACTGGCTCCGTTTTAAAGTCATTGTAAATTGAGTTTATGGATTCTTGCATCTATTCAGTATATTTTTCTTTGTTTGGGAAAATGCTTGTGGAGTAACTTCTGGAGTTCTTGGTGTCATTTGTATTTTGAAAATGGGATGTTCTGCATGTCTTTGGAATGTTCCTGATGGAAACTCATGCAGTTATTTCATTCAATGCCTCCAGAAGTTGTGGGTGCTCCAACACTGGAGGTTTTTAAGAAGAAATTAGACAACCAGTTGTCTGAAGTGGTATAGGGCCGTGATGGCGAACCTATGGCATGTGTACCACAGATGGCACGCGGAGCCATATCGGTGGGCACGTGAGCGTTGCCCTAGCTCAGCTCCAGTGCGGATGTGTGTGACGGCCAGCTGATTTTCAGGCCTCCTGGGCCCACCAGAAGTCGGGAAATGGGCTGCTTCCGGCCTCTGGGCTGTTTTTGGCCTCCAGAGGGCCTCCGGGGGTGGGTGGGTGGGGAAGTCCGTTTTTGCCCTCCCCAGGCTCCTAGAAGGGCTCTGGAGCCTGGGGAGGGTGAAAAACGGGCCCACTGTGCCATCGCGTGCCAAAAGCGGGGGGAGTGTGTGTGGGGGTGTCGCATGTGCATGCGTGTGGGACGGGGCGCATTGAATTATGGGTGTGGGCACGCGCACGTGTGACATCCCCATGCGCAACCCCCATGCGCGGCTCTCCCCCACTCTCCCTTTTGGCACGCGAGGGCAAAAAGGTTAGCCATCACTGGTATAGGGTTTCCTGCTTGAGCAGGGGATTGGATTAGAAGATCTCCAAGGTCCCTTCCAACTCTATTATTTTGTTATTCTGTTAATTATTTTATTAGAGGGTCAGTTTCCATAATTCTTACTGTAAATTGTGCAGCAAGAACTTTATGTCCGTTGCTGAATGTTCATTGGCTGTTGGTTCCTGATGTTTGTTCAGTATTTTAGGATGAGCTCCTAAGACGTTTTTGTGTGGGTATGGCAAAATGCTCACTGTGAGAAATATGAAGCAGGTTTTGTCTATGAGTTCTCATGCTTAAGATTAAAAAAAAATGTTGCATGTACACTTTTTATTTCATCAGAATATGTTAATAATGCCAATTACGGTGTTTTATGAAAATTCAGGTATAGCCTGCACTGATATTAACCTTGGCAAAGAAACACATAGCTACGATATGAATTCTTAACTAATTTTCATGTGGCATTCTTCAGTGTAGTTTAATTTGGCAGGGTTAAGTGCTGTTTGTGCATAATAGTTTTATGTAATTTCATTTCTGAAATTGCAAGTGGCTTTTTTTTCTAGTTTTAGATGGATTAAGGTTTTTTTCACAAGTAAAAGTATTGAGTAAACAGGCTCTATTTTAAGAAGAATAGAATGGAATGGAATAGGAATAAACTATTTTATTTAGCAAGTGTGGTTAGATATACAAAGAATTTGTCTCTGGTACAGAAACACTCAGTGTACTGAATAAGAAGAGATTTTTTAAAAATAAAATTAAAATGAATGATTTTAAGGTTACCAAAGATATTAAGCATCTAGCATTGCCAGTGAGATAACTATGCAGAGTTCTTTAAAAATAGTTTACATTTATTCATAGTTTGGAAGTTAGTAAATGAAAGAATCTGGGCTGACACAATAAGCAAAATAGATGAGGAGAGTCTGTATAGGGATAGGTAGTTCTAGACTTATGACCACAATTAGGACCAGAATTTCTATTACTAAGAAGATGGTTGTTAAGTGAGTCATGCCCAATTTTATGATCATAAAAGTTGTAGTGCTTAAATGAATCATGCGGTGATTAAGGTAATCCATCTTCCTCCATTGATTTTGCTTGTCGGAAGCTGGCTGGGAAGGACTCAAATAGCGACCTTAGGATGCTAGAGCCATTGTAGCTAGATGTTGGTTGCCAAGCCCCTTGAATTTTACTCACATGACAGTGAGAATACTGTAACAAGTGCGAGAATCGGTCGTAAGTCACTTTTTTCAGTGATTTGTAACTTTGAATGGTCGCTAAATGAATGGTTGAAAATAGAGGACCATCTGTACATTAGGAGCCAGAGATGAGCATAACAAAGATCCATCTCAACTAGCATTCTGTATCCATAGACATCTCATGTTTCAGAGAGGTAGCTGTACAAGAAAATAAACATAATTTCACCCCCTCAGTAAAATGCCTTTAATTTGACTTAGGACCCCTGAGATTATAGCTATCATGGCAATTAAATCCTTTAGGCCTTTGAAAGCAACCAAATTGATGGCCATGTTTACACCCTGTGATTATGAATTCTATAGAACAGGGGTATCAAACTGGATTTCTTCAAGGGCTGGATCAGCATTGTAGTTCTCTGCAGGCTGGTCTTGGGGTGGGGGTGGGGGTGGGGGTGGAGGGAGAGACAGAATGGACGCCTCCTGCAGCACCCTGCTGGCCAAAACGGGGTGCAGGGGGAGGCCCTCGTGTGGTCCCCTCTCTGCCCCGTTTTCGGCCTGGACGGCCTCCTGCAGCACCCTGCTGGCCAAAATGGAGCGTGGGGGGCCTCGTGTGTGTCTTTCCCCCGCACTGTTTTGGCTGCCAGAGACACCGCAGGCTGGTCCTATTTGCAGGCCAGCCCCGAGGGCCAGATTTAAGCCTTGAGTTTGACACCCCTGTTATAGAATAACTATGTGCCGAGTTTAAAAAGGTGAAGTTTTTGCAGAATCATTGTCTTAATTTTAAGAGTACCATTTGAAACTAACTGTGCCTTACATATTCAGATGATGGTAAAGGAATCTGCTTTGCAGAGATGGCTAGAAGATAAGCCATGGCAGCATTCAAATAATGCTCTATTGCAATTGCAGTTCTGAAGAAAAGCAAATAAAGCTAGAAAGCCGACTGCACAAGGGAGCATTTTCAGAAATCAAGGCTATTTATTGGACAGCGCTGAAGTGGAATTCGCTTAAACTACAGTTCAGATTCTATCTTAGATAGTTCTGCCTTTTAACCTGGAATGCAGTGTAATGGAAAACAGCAGATATATAGCTCTGAGTGAAAGCAAGGCATAAAAAGACAGAAAGAGCATTCCACTCATCATCTGCTTTAATTACTCTTTTGCTCCTTTCATCTTTATGCAACAAATACAAAAAAAAAAAATTGCAACAAAACGAGAATATTAATAGCTGAAAACAGGAGAGAATTACTTTGATTTTCTGATATTTTGATCAGTAACT